GCCTTCCTCTCGGGCATGTTCGACGCGGAGCTGATCCGGCACGTCCTGCTGATCATGCCCACCACCCTGGTCAGCAGCTGGCTGGCCGAGTTCGCCCGCTGGACCCCCGGCCTGCGTGTCAAGGCGTTCCACGGCAGCAGCAGGGTCGAGCGCACCAGGAACCTGGAGCGGGTCCAGAGGAAGAACGGCACCGTCATCACCAGCTACCAGATGCTCGTTAACAACTGGAAGCAGCTCGCCAGCAGCCACGACCAGGAGTTTGTCTGGGACTACGTCATCCTGGACGAAGCGCATAAAATCAAGTGCCCGTCCAACAAGACCACCCGGTGTGTCTATGCCATCCCTGCCAGGCACCGCCTGCTCCTCACGGGCACCCCAGTGCAGAACAACCTGCGGGAAATGTGGTCCTTGTTCGACTTTGCCTGCCAAGGCTCTCTCCTGGGAACAGCCAAAACTTTTAAAATGGAATATGAGAATCCTATCACCAGAGGCAGGGAGAAGGACGCCACCCTGGGTGAAAAAGCACTGGGGCTGAAGATGTCCGAGAATCTAATGGCAATTATAAAGCCATATTTTCTCAGAAGAACCAAAGAAGATATCAAAACCAATCAGGCTGGCAAAATAGATGCTCCTTTTCCTGAGGAACCAAGTGAGAGCTGTGCTCCTGTCATGCCATCTCTCACTAGGAAAAATGACTTTGTGGTGTGGGTGTACTTGTCACCCGTGCAGGAAGAAATCTACAGGAACTTTCTCTCTCTGGATCACGTGAAAGAAGTGCTGATGACAACCCGGTCGCCTTTGGCTGAGCTGACGGTCTTGAAGAAGCTGTGTGACCACCCCAGGCTGTTGTCTGCACGAGCCTGCATCCAGCTGGGCTTGGAGGAGCAGGAGGGCTCGGAGCAGGACGAGTTTTCAGGAATGCTGCCAGGTGCTAACAAAATAGATCATCTCTCAGATGAAACACTGATTCAGGAGTCGGGGAAAATGCTGTTCCTTGTAGGGCTTCTGGAGAGACTGCGAGAAGAGGGACACAGCACCCTGGTGTTCTCACAGTCCACAAAGATGCTGGACATCATCCAGCGCGTCTTGTCCCACCGGCAGTTCAAGCTCCTGCGGATTGACGGGACCGTGACCCACCTGGCAGAGCGGGAGAAGCGCATCCAGGCCTTCCAGAGCAGCGGGGAATGCTGTGTCTTCCTGCTCACCACGCAGGTGGGGGGCGTGGGGATCACCTTGACAGCAGCCAGCAGGGTGGTGATCTTTGATCCCAGCTGGAATCCGGCTACAGACGCGCAGGCTGTGGACAGATCTTATCGGATCGGGCAGAAGGAGAACGTGGTGATTTACAGACTGATCACCTGCGGCACCGTGGAAGAGAAGATCTACAGGAGACAAGTCTTCAAGGATTCATTGATCAGACAGACCACTGGGGACAAAAAGAACCCGTTCAGGTATTTCTCCAAACAGGAGCTGAGGGAGCTTTTCACGTTAGAAGACACGCAAACATCTGCGACTCAGATCCAGCTGCAGTCCTTGCATGCCCTCCAGAGAAAGACCGACCTGCAGCTGGATGAACACATTGCCTATTTGCACTCCCTGGCCATGTTTGGCATTTCTGATCATGACTTGATATTCACGAGGGAAACAGCTCAGGAGGAGCAGGTGGAGAGCGAGGAAGCCCATCAGTACATCCAGCGGAGGGTACAGAAGGCCCATGAGCTTGTTCAGTTGGAGTCTCAGCTTAGAGACCAGAGGATGGAGGGGATCAGAAACAGCTGTGAAGAGACGTGGCCAAGACCACCAGAACGGGCTTCCCAGCCAAAGAAATTGTCTCCAGGGCTAAAAAACATCAGTCCCTTAGTTTCGCCACCAGTAGCTGATGAACATGAAAAGGACAAAGTTATTGATCTTACAGAGGACAAGGAGGTCCAGGTTCTTGACGTCAGCTCCAAAATGACAAATCTGACTATTGGTGACTTGGATGAAGAGAAACTGGCACAAGATGAGTCCTGTATGGACACAGAGGTGCTTAATACCAGCAAGACAGTGAAAGAAACCAATGTACAAGAATCTGAGCAAAATCTTGAATTGAGTGTTATAGCATCATCACCTGGACTTCATCCAGGCCTGAGTCCTGAACAGAAACACTGTTCCCATGGGATGTCAGACAGCTTGACTGAGGCAGGGGATGGTCTCCCTGGGCATCGTCAGCATTCCGCTAACAAGTCTGGTATGGCTGATGGTTCCAAGGAGTTAAGAGATGCAGAAATGTCAGAGCAGGTGCTTGGCCCCTACACTGCCCTGGGGACAGATGAGAAGGACCTTTCTGAGCCAGCTTTGGCTGCTGCAGTGCCAGCTTTGTCAAATGTTACACCAGAAACCCTTGCTGGGCTCCAGGATTCTGATGTGCTGGAAACCAGCTTGGAGGATATGTCTGTGCAGGATCAAGTTGACTTCAATCTGGTCTTGGAAGAGTCTGAAGAGGAATGGCAAGATACATCAGATA